CGGCGGGGCTCGGTTCAGCCCGACTGCTTCTGCCCGACGTCGTCGTCGTCATCGTCGAATCCGTTGGCGAGAATTCGATAACGTTATGGCGAGTGGTCTGATAAGTGATGCGCTGACCTTCCCGGCCTCGCCCCGCCGCCCGCCGCCGCGCGCCCCGCCGCCCGCCGCCGCGCGCCCCGCCCGAGCCGCTGGCCGGTCAGCCTGCCGCGGGGCTGGTGGGCAGCGCGCAGGAAGCGCCATGGCCTCGGACGTGGACGTCGAGATGCAGGCCATGAGGGCCCACCGCCCGGGCTCGCCCCGCACCCCGCGGGCGGCCAGCTGGCCCGCGTCGAGGCCCGCGCGCAGGCCGCGCCCCCCGCGGCCGCGGAGATCGAATTCGACGTGAGTTTGAAAGACGTGCAACAACAGGCGAGGTTAGGTTGACGTGTGTGATTTAGCTGTGAATTGTGTGTGTCTTTTTTGCGGATCAGATAGCAAGATCGCCTCTATTTCCAGCCCGGAAGTTGGCTGGAGCGGCAGCTGTGTCACGCTCCGCGCCGACCTGACAGCCGCGGTCATACGTGCGTGGTCCGCAGCGGGGCGGGGCGGCCTGCGGCGGCGTCCTGTCGGTCCTGTTGTCCTGACCCGCTCTCCAGTTTATTGCAGGGCAATACTCATCGGGTCGCCAATCTGCCGCCGACAATCGTCATCCTGTCCCGATTAAGGACGGCTTTGTTTCCCTCGGCTCACTCGTTTACTCCCGGATGCAGGAGCCGCGGCCCTGCGCGGTGGACTGCGGCGGGTCGACGTGATCCGCCGACGCTCCAGGCGAAGCAATTTTAACGTCGAACTCACTTTTTCAAGTCTTTTTCAATTAACCCTGTTGTCCTGTTGCAGCCGCAGCGGGCGCTACCACAGCTCACAGCGGAGGCTCCGGCGAAGAGCTGTCCTCAAGAATGGCGAGTGCAACGTGCTGCAGAGCAAGATATCCAACATGAACCTGCGCTTCCTGCAGGTGAGCACTGAGCCGGGCCGGCCTGCGGCCAGCACCACGGCCTGGACATGCGCTCACCACCCATCTGTGTGTTCGCAGGACATCTTCACGACCCTGGTGGACGTGCAGTGGCGGTGGACGCTGCTCGTCTTCTCGCTGTCCTTCTTCCTGTCCTGGCTCACGTTCGCGCTCATCTGGTGGCTCATCGCCTTCACGCACGGCGACCTGGAGCCGGAGCACCTGCCCGAGCGCCAGGAGGAGTCTAAGTGGTCGCCGTGCGTCGACAACATCCACGACTTCGGCTCGTGCTTCCTGTTCTCCGTCGAGACGCAGCACACGATCGGCTACGGCGGCCGCGCCACCACCGAGGAGTGCCCCGAGGCCATCTTCGTCATGTGCCTGCAGAGCATCGTCGGCGTCATGATCCAGGCCTTCATGACGGGCATCGTGTTCGCCAAGCTGTCGCGGCCCAAGAAGCGCACGCAGACGCTGCTCTTCTCCAGGCAGGCCGTCATCTGCGTCCGGGACGGCGAGCTGTGCCTCATGTTCCGCGTCGGAGATATGCGCAAGTCGCACATCGTGGGCGCCAGCATCCGCGCGCAGCTCATACGCACCAAGACCACGCAGGTGAGCTTGGAGGCCCTCGACGAGGCTCAAAGCGGGTGGCTGACTCAGGCCGGACACTTTCGTAGTTATACTGTACAGCATGCATACGGGCGGGCGGGTTGCCTACTTGCACGGAGCCATAAGGAGCCGTCGGCAGCGAATCGAAGGAAAGCCGGCCCGCACCCGTGCATGCGGTATGGAAACAACGAATAAGTGCGCGGCGTGAGTCAGCCACCTGGTACAGTATGGCTGTCGAAGTTTGGCGAGAGTGATAGTTTTCGCGCGATTGTGTCTTTCCGTATCTGTTTTTTGTTTTTTTTGTGTGTTTTTTTGCCTTCTATCGTCTAACTGGCCTGATATCCTCCGCAGGAGGGCGAGACCCTGGCGCCGTTCCAGCACGAGCTGACCCTCTCCGCTGACGACTGTGGGTCCGACCTGTTCTTCATCTGGCCGACCGTGGTGGTGCACAAGATAGACAGGTGCGTGCACGCCTCATCATCTATCAGGTGACACCGTCTAGCGCCAGGACGACACGGCGTCGACTAACGACTTCAATTTCCTCGCACAGCTCCAGCCCCCTGTGGAACATGTCGGCCGTCGACATGATGCACGAAAAGTTCGAGATCGTCGCCATCCTGGAGGGCACGATCGAGACGACGTCGCAGACGACGCAGGCGCGGTCCTCGTACCTGCCCGTCGAGATCCTCTGGGGCCACCGCTTCGCGCCCATGGTGACCTACTGCCGGGAACGGCACGGCTACCAGGTGGACTACAGCCTCTTCCACTGCACCACGCCCGTGGACACGCCGCTGTGCTCCGCCATGGACCTGGCCGCCTTCCACCGCCACCACGCCGGGCTGCCAAACGCCGGTGGGTCTGATGTTGTGAACGCGTGGATGATCAGAAACGAGGACCCCCCTGCTCGTCGAGAGAAATCGGGGAAAACGGCATTTCAAAAGAGCATTATCGCCTATGGGGGTGAGATTATGCCACGGGCAGGAAGATGTTAACTGCATTCTTTTCTCTAGAACCCAGTCTCTCATAAGCGAAACTGACGACAAATCTTTTTAAATTACTAGACAGGTATCAACCGTGACTTGTCTGTGATTAATTATTTGAAGGCCGATATTGTTAGATCACCCTTCTGCTTTGAAAAAGCTGTCTGTCTGTCCGGATAATCATAACGTCAATAATTTTAAGGGACTTGTGTGGTGCCCCAAAAATGAACGTTCCCCGACGCGACCGTACCCAGGCGATGCAGTAAATGTTCGACATGCATCAGATTTCTTATTTCATTTAATGCCAACAGAGTAAGCAGGGGGCTTGTTCGTCACGTCTCATACTACGCTACTAGTAGCGCCTGCAATGCGCTGGGTAGGCCAACCCGCCGAGCAGAAGTGTGTACCCGGCGGCTTTCCGAGCGCCACGCCACGGTGCAGAGGCACGAACGGGCACGGAGACTTCGGCATTCAACACCTCGCGGAGGCGGAACGTTCATTGTTTGGGCAGCACCTTTACAGATTCATTCATTCGGGGCAACAGTTAGCGGAAATACCTAACTTCAGGCTTTTGTAAAAGAGGGTTGTGGGGAACAAGTCACGGTGGACCACAATTATAGTATTTTTTCATCCCCGGAGAGCATACCGGGGGCCCGGAGGGTCTGCTACAAAACTGAAAATGTTTAAGACGTGCACAACTGTGACAAGCTAAACGCCGCTGGCAAGGTCCAGCTAGGCCCACCCCTAGCCAAACAGGCCCTTGGAGCTAGGCGACGAGGGTTGGGCCTAGACTGTTGTTTGCCAAACGGCTCCTTCGATGACTCCTTTTCTCACTGATGATACGCTTGCAGACGTGAACGGCGACGTTCCTCGGGCGGGAGCGGACATCCACAACATGATGGCCGTGGCGCTGCCCAATGCCCACAATCTGGTCAGCCTCTGAGCCGAGGCGGATGTTTCGCGGAGCGTGGAGTAGCGACGGACGCGCCGGTGAAAGGCTGTGCCTGTGCGGGGTATCGACGCGGCGGGCCCGCTTCGGACTAAAAGGAGAGAGGGAGACAGACTGGACGTTTCGAACGACATTTTCTTCCCGAGAGACGACGGTTGATCCCTACTTTTAGGGATGATGGTGATGTGATTTGCATTCTGAGGTTGAGCTGCCCGCAAGAAGAAGCCATGCTGATATTTTCTTTTTGCATATGTGATACTGTAGTTCCCCCATACTGCCATAATGACTTTGGTTGAGAGGGACCAACGTTGTGTCAATTGAATTGTTTCTGATATAAAAATGCAAACAGCATTTTTCAACCATTGATATTTTACCGCACAAACGAACTAATTTTTACAGAATTTAGACAGCAAAACATGTTTTTCAGTAATTAACATGAGTGTATATTTTAAGGGGTCTCTGTAGATCCGCGAAGCTCAGAATAATTTGAGCTGTTGTGGGGACCAATTTTAATTATACTAAGCGAGCAGTAAAGACAATTTGAGAGGCAATTATTTATTTAGTGTCATTTATTTTCCCGAAAAGCAATGTCCCATACATTTGGTAACAATGCGATTAAAATCCGGTGTCTTCAGAAACAATTATAACCATTGTCTCATCCTGAAAGTGTTTTACCTCAGTAATTTTATCAGTACTATTAATAACCAGTAGCGGAATGTGGTTTTCTGCGAAAAGGGGTATAACAACAAGGATAACAAAACACACGATTTTCAGAAATGGATGGTTTTGTACACTTTATTGTGTCCCCACAATGACGTTCTCTTCTTTTCAGTTCTTTTTAATTTTGGCGACGTGGCTGCCGACCCGACGGTCAAAAAATGGCAAGCTCCTGCGTATCACAAATTGATCGAAACCGTTGGCAGCCACAAAGCGAGGCGAGGGAGGTGGGACAATCTCACAGATGTTTGATGAAAAATAATTTATAAATAAAAAATAACAATAATTAGTTGGAAGAAATATAAACTTTTTTTTGAATGTCGATCCCGATAATGCAGATGGTATAACAGTCCTTGAGTTGCGTTGATGTTGTTCTTGGTGTTGTTCGGCGTGCGGCCGGTTGCAGAGGGCCCAGGGTGGGCCGTGTGGTGTGGCCAGTGTTTATTCGCCACCGGTTGCCCTGGTGCCGTCCTTCAGAGGGATCTTACCGCACATCCTCTGGAGAAAGGCTGTAAAACACAACGCCAATTAAAAAGAGGCACATGCAGGAGAAAATATGAACCCCCCCAAAAAAATTCACGGCCTACAGCGTATCCCGTACACACCGAATTTTTGTTTCGTATTCTTTGTTTATACTGTACCGCACTCAGGTGTGTCGACAGGTTGCATACTCGCTCGGCGCCATAAGGCACCATGGTGGGCGGCGGTAGCAACCCGCCGCTCTCCTGCATGCGGTACAGTACAGTTAAACAGGAACCGACAGGAACAAAAAGGACGGGGCATATGGGATACTCCGTCTATCTCCGTCAGTGCGGAATGGAACATTATTTAAACGATATCGATGCCGTGTTCCTCCCGATATTGCTTCGCTTTCGTTATCGTTTAATCAGTCGTTTCTCACTAGGACGGCCCATGTTTTATTCTTTGTCATGCTTTAGATTATAATGGCAATGTTTTTCCCCTCCGTTTTTATCTTTCCTTACTTAATTTGCACAAGTAAGAACGTGCGTCATAAGGGAATTCCGTACAGGATATTAACACCATGCAGAGTACTCACTGTCTTCCTTTAGAATGTTGATTTAAGCCGCCATCAGCTTCTTGAGGAATGCTGTAATGATCACAGGGAGTTTAGGGCAAAGTGCAAAATGCATACGATGGAGAGGGTGCTAACAACATACGCTACGGAAAACAACTACAGGGCAACAAATCTACCACCACAGTTCTACAATACAAAAGAGGGCAGTAGGGGTCATACAACATACGGGTATAGAAATCAGACCATGCGTCATACATAATGCGCCAAAAATTACTTTTCTAACCGACCAGCACTCGTTTTGGAGAGTCGAGAGTTGCTTTGCCTTGCAATCAGCTCAAACAATATCTTAAACTATTTTACTCAAATGAATGATCCAAATTCCAAACTACCAGGGAAGAGCATAACTACTAAGTATGGTGGGGAAGTGCTGATACTCGGATCTCAAATCAATCTACAGAAAGGTTGCAACAAAAGGTGGATACTCACGAACGTATTGGACCATGCCCTCATCGTCTTCGGGGTCCAGGCAGTCCTTAAGGACCTCATCGACCTCTTTGTCTTCCAGGCGCTCGCCTGCAGGGGTGAAGACAAGAGTTAGAAACGGGTCGAGGTCAAGTTGTGCACCAACGGCGTGACGGCGTCAAGGCATGGCCGCGGACTCACCGAGGGAGAGGAGGGTGTGGGAGAGCTCAGCGCCGAGCATGGTGCCGTTCTCAGCCTTGTCGTACAGCTTCAGGCACTCGAGGAAGTCCTCGTACACGCCCTGGTCCTTGTCCTTCTTGCATGCGCTGAAGATGGGCAGGAACTCGTCCAGGGTGAGCTTCTTCTCGCCCTTCTTCTTGGTGCCGCCCAGCTTCTCGATGGTGGCGCAGGTGGGGTTCAGGTTCAGGGCCCTGAGGACACCGCCGAGCTCGCAGCAGTCGACGGCACCGGTGCCATCTGAGTCGTAGATGGAGAACACGAACTGGGCGCCTGAACAGGGGAGAAAGAGTTGGGCGTTAGGGATGAAAAATTACAACAAAGGGCGTAAAAGGATGTGCGATTATTTTGAAAGAGGTTTTGTATTAAGGTCAAGTCGCGGGCGTACGCGTCGTAGGAAGAGGGGGTAAGGGGAGGGGGCCTTCGGAAGAGGCGCGCGCGGCGGGGCGGGCGTAGTGGGGGCGGGGTGGGGCGGAGCGGTGCGGGTGTCTATTCCTGTCCGTTGCAGCGCGGCCAGCCTGGCCAGCCCGCGGGTACCGCCCACCGCCTTAAAAGCGAATACTATACGATTACCGCGCCGCCGCCACATGTGCGGGTCGGGGCGTGGCGTGGCGTGGCGTGGCGGGCGGGGCGGGGCGTGGTAGGGCACGGTTGTCGCGTGTCGGCCGGCCGCACGCATGAAGGTCACGAACCCCGACTCCAGTGCCCGTGATTGTCGTATCGCTGGCGATCGCGCTGCGGCGGCCGCGAGGGAGCAGTGTGGCGAGCGGAGCCAGCGGGCAAGGGCAGTTCCACAGTGGCCTTATACTACCGACGCTAACCTTAGAAAATAAAAAGAAGGAAAGAAAGAAAGAAAGGGACTTGGTAGCGCGCGCCCCGCTCGCTGACCATGCTAGTAGTTAGTCGGGCTGTCAAGCGTCCGCTCCTCTGGCCAAACATGGGGCACGTGGACTCCTACCGGGCAGAGAGGGCGGGGAAATAAGGGAGAAAGAAGTGAGGTGAGAATACTTACGTTCAACGTCCTTTCCTGACAGGTCAGCGGCCTGCAAGCAGCAGAGAAAAGAAATACACCTGTTAGTAGTCCCGATCACCTCATTAAGAAAACTTCAACCCTCCTGAACCACCCCGCCTTTCTGAATCGCAGCAATTATTTTGCACTTCTCGGCGTCCTCCTGGCACCCGCACACCTTCACGCCTTCCTTGAGGCACACATTGAAACACTTTTTTTCCCGTCCTCCCTCAACCCTCAACCTCGGCGATCGCGAAGTTTCTCTCGTGCTTTACAACCCCTCGGGGCGAGGGGCTGATTTGCACGGAGGTTGGCCTCCAGCCCACTTGGTCACCAACCAGGAGGCGTGGAGGCGAGAAGGCGGGCAGGTGCAGCGGCACCCTCGGTATCCACAGTAGTTGTAGAAGGTTAATCCAAGAAGGAGGCACTTCAAACGTGTCCACTTTCACTGTCACTGTTCTTTTCGGCGACGAGGGCGGTGAAGCAGGGCGCGTTCCGGGCGGCCAGCACTTGTGACCAGGAGGTCCAGGAACTCACCATTGTGGAGATGAGAGGTCGGCGGGAGATGTGCAACCACTGATGTGCCCCACACTCAAGAGACTGCGACCGGCGGTGCCCTGGGACCCACCAGGGGCTGTCCGGTGGGGGCAGCGGGGGACAGCGGGGGGCGGCCGGGGGGCAGCCGGGGGCAGGCTCGGGCCGGGAGGAGGGGGTAGGCGCGGGGCGGGGAGGGAAGGGGAGGCTATTTAAAGAAGAAGGGGTCTCGCGAGGGCTGCGGGCGAAACACGACCCGCTAGATGTCGGCAGATCTAGCCGCTCGTAGCTAGACGGAGAGAGAGAGAGGGCCGACCGGGCGAGGGAGGAGAGGAGAAAAAGGGGGGAAAGGGCGGGCGACCGACGACGGGGAGGGAGGACAAAGTGGTGTGGGAGGATGGGGGATCCGAAAGTAAGATCTGCGCAGTGAGTAGGTACCCCAAAGGCCCCTGCCCCCTGCCCTACCGACGGCCCAGGCCTTCAAATTAGGAACAACAGGGGGTAACAGCAAGCGAAACGCCAGTCCTCCTGTTTAACATGTGTTAGAAAACAATAGGAAGACATGCCAACTATTCCAAGCACTAGCATTGAGGATCGTCCAGAAAGTACGTCTGTCTTTATTTCAGATTCATTCGGCAAATTAAATTAGAGGAGTTTGGCGCCTGCGAGACTTCGGGTAGGCCACCCCGCAATACACGTATGCGCAGCAGGCGAGATGTTGCCTACCTATCAGGCGATAAGAGCTCGTGGGGGCTTCACTCGGCAGGCTTGTAAAGACGAATGACGGATGTATTTTCTGTTTAATCCGTATAATCTCCAAGCCGTTGGCCGAAAAAATGTGAAGGCATATCTTTAGTGCGAGTGTGGGGGTCAAGGGGGAAGGGGTCCTGGGGCGGTAGATAGGGCACGGGTACCTACGTTGCTCCAAAGGGTGAGCTCGTCCTCAAGGCTCTGGTACATGACCTACTTAGCTTTCGTGTACCTATCAACACGTGTACGCGGTTCACCTAGTTTTCCTGGGTTGGTGCGGCTTCCCCCTCGGCGCCGCTCGGCCGGCCAGCCGAGCCGATGGGCGCCTCGAGGGCCTCGAGCCGCGGCGAGGGCGCACCTCAGGCGGGCGCCGGCCTCAGGCGTCAAGAGCGCAAAAATACCCCGGACCACGCCGGCGTGGCCACCGAAAACGGCCTCCCAGTGCCCCCTGACTCCTTGGCCGCCTCGCCACCTCACTGCCTCGCCGCCCCGCCACCGGCATGCCCCTCGCCCCAACCACCACCCCCC